TATTTCATCCATGTTTTCAATTATTAGACTAAATTTGCCAATAAATAGTTTGAAAATATATTTTTTGCAGCTTTTAGTTTTTAATATTAATTTACAAAACACCCAACACTTAACAATAGCCTCTACCTCAAGAGGTAGAGGAGCCAAATGGCTGGCTCACTGCTGCCAACTAGTGGTCAGAGGCTGAACTACAACATAAAAATGAACGGCTGGCAGGAACGTAGACATTTTAAACCTTAATAAAAAATCGATACAGGGCTTTAGAATATCTATACAGTATCGGGAAATGAAATATCACGATATTTCAGTGTATCGATATTTTCTTACACCCCTAGAGAGTTGTGATTTTGTTGCTGAGTTGTTGCAGGCATAACCAGCTCAACTCAGTTTAGTTGCTATAGTTCTGAAGATCTAAAGCTGGATTTTGACTCACGTGGAGCTCCTCTCTGTCCAGGTCTATAAACCACAATGATGATCAAAAACTCTATCATGTGGAGGCAGCTGCAACAAAATTAAATGTGTGGCAAAGCAGTTTTATAAGCCATGCACATAAAAATAGACTGAAAATGTGCTTATTTTCTTCTAGTTTCTCACATTTTTTGCGACTTTAGTTAGTCTCCAGCAGTCGTAAAGCAGTGAGAAACTACAGCTGCCACCAGAACCGGAGAAAAAAAAAATCAGCATGAGCTCCATCAGAGCTGAGATGTTCTGCCGGGGTCTCCGTCACACTCAAAACAACACCTTGATACAAAAAACAAAAATGTAATCTGTAAATGCATGACCAAAGGCTGACATGAAGCTTAAAGTCCCAAATAGTTCAGTACTACAGCATCGGACCACGTGAAATGTTCTGAAGGTGAGCAGTGCTGGAACGGGTCGGACCTGTTAACACAGGTGAGACCAGTACAGACCCAAAGGTCAGCAGGTCATGACCCAACCTGCTGATCTTTTTGCTAAAATCCAATTGGACTCTTATATTTCTCAAATATTAGATGTAAAATGCTCTGAACAAATATATAACTGTATTATGATGGAGCAAGGCGTTGATGGAGCTCTGTATGTTAGAAGGAAGATTTTTATTTTTTATCCATTTTACAGGGAGAGAAATGTGATTTTCCTGGTGTTTCCTGTGACAGTTTTATACTTAAACTGGAAGCTTTCCAAAGCTTTTGTTTGAGTCAGTATATGCAGGAGCTGGTGGGGTGGACGGGCTGTTAGTTCAGGTGAACCACACTGGAAGGACAACATCTGGACGGTCACAGTCACAGAAGCTGGTTGGTCCTGGAGCAAACTTTTCCAGCTGTTGTATCCTGAGGAGGAGTCCAGCTGATTTCATTAGATGGTCCTTTACCAGCCTGTTTGAGTTCAGGGTCCTGTTAGTAAAAAGTAAATTGAAGACATGATTGTTTGATTAAGAGATGATGTTTTATTTAAGCCATCAGAGGAGTACATATCTCCCTCTGCATGTGATGAACAAACACTTCGGCAAAAACACATTTAGATTGTTAACTCATAAAACACTGTCAGTCCACCTGCCTAGAAGATTGGTTTATTCATCCACAACATAAGAAACATAAGAAATTTATCCAATTTGCTTCCTAGAGCACAGCCTGTGAGCTTCAAACCATCCCTTTCAAGATGTCATTAGCACTGAGGGTGTTCAGCAAGTGTGTGGAAGCAGTTCTGAGAATTACTGGCATAAAAATGATTAATAAATAAACAACTATACAATGTGCTCCCAAACTCAGGAGCAGGCGCGCAACGATTCCCGAACAATGTAGAGTGTATTTCAGTCGCAAAATGAACTCTCATATTGTGTCATGCTGTCAGAGGAAGGGGTTGCATCTAGGGCTGCACTGATTGCAATTTTCTGACCAGTCTCTAAATCACCAGGGGCCTCATGCATTTTCATTTTGGAAATTTCAGAGTGATGTTTTGAATACACTCCAATCTCTAAATGGCTCACATGCATTTGACAAATATAAGATAAATATGGATTTCTTGAAAATGCATGCCAACACTTCTTTACCATTGTTTCATCATTTGCTTAATTTATGTATTGTGCAGTCTRTTTTCCCTGATGCCTGGAAGTTTGCTCAGATTACTCCCATTTTTAACTCTGGTGATCCAACAGAAGTTTCAAACTATCAGCAAATTTCTGTTCTTCCTATTTTTTCTAAATTACTTGAAAAAACATTGTTTAATCAACTACTTCAGCATCTAGAAGCTAATAATATGCTAGGCAATAGCCAACATGGTTTCTGCAGGTCAAGGTCAACCATGTCTACATTAATTTTATTCACTGAACAAATACGCGCTGCTTTGAACAAAGGTCAAGTAACTGGTGCTGTATATACTGATTTTCGTAAAGCGTTTGACACAGTTGATCATTATACTCTCTTACAAAAGTTGATTTCTTTTCAACTTTCATCATCTGCAATACAAATGTTTTCYTCTTMTTTGACTGRTAGGTGTCAGRTTGTGAAACAWGGAAGCTCTGTGTCYGGGTCTCTKCCCTGTTHCGTGGGAGTTCCGCAGGGTAGCATACTGGGCCCATTGCTTTTCCTATTATACATAAATGACCTTCCAAAAATATTGAAGTATTCAAATATTTTAATGTATGCTGATGATACTGTTCTTTTTTTTGTCTGATTTCAATATTGAATCTATTAATAGTCAGTTACAAGCAGATCTTCAGACATTTCATGGTTGGCTTCAAGATAATCTTGTCAATTAATTAAAAAAAACTGTGTGCATGTATTTTTCCTCACCCAGGAGACATTTCAATATAACAAATCAACTCACTTTTTTAAACAAACCCCTTGATATTGTCACTACCTACAAATATCTTGGAATTACTTTGGATTCTCATTTGACTTATCGTGATCATGTACAAGTCTTAACCACTAAGTTGAAACAAAAATTATATGTTTATTCAAAAATTAGATCCAATCTGACATCTTCTGTTTCAAATATCTATCTTCATGCCATTATACTCTCAACCATGTCATACTGTTTACCTGTTTGGTCTCTTACAACTAATGAAATCTCAGAACCCATTGTTAGGCTCTACAACAGGGCCTACAAAATTCATAAAAAAATTTCCTGGTTGGACTCATCACTGTACAGTTCTTTCATTGTCTGATGCCTTGACTTTTCAGAATTATGTTTTGTATAGTGGTATTAATTTATATTTTCAGATCTTCCAAGGTGCCAATTATGGAACTCTCTGTGCATTGTTGCCCAAATCAAATTCTGGAAGTGGTCATTCAACTAGATCTGTTACAAAAGGACAACTGATATTACCAACTTTTAAAAACTGTTACAGCCAGAGGTCTTTCTTCTATGTTTATACTAAAACATGGAATGACATTCCTCAAAACATAAAGTCCATTTCAAAATTACAGCCCTTTAAGAAGCATCTTGTCTGCCATCTGCTGGACTCTTTGTTGTGCTCATATTTAGACATCCTATTTTGCAAATGCTGCCGTTTTGAAATTTGGTATGCTTGTTTGTCTTTGTGTCTATGGTGAATAATGATGTGATTGTGATGCTGGGATTCTGAGTGTTTTATGTGCTGCAGAACAGGAACCTGCTGTAAAACAGCAATTATGCTGAGTCAGGCTTGATTTTTTAATAATCTTTTCCTGTTAAATAAAAAAAAATGAATCAACGGTGCGTACGCACAAAAACCTTGCGTACGCCGTTTTCCACACAAAACTCCGGATGTATACTGAAATGAACGTGGAAATGTGCGCAGCCCCACGCCAACTCCAGGGCTGGTGTACGCACGTTTCTGTGGTTCTGGTTCCATTGGCGGCACTTAGAGGTGATTCTGAGAAACTGTTCATGATTTGAAAATGATTATTGTTCACAGCAGACACACATGATTAACAATTATTACATCCACATGATTAACAATTATTACATCCACATGATTAACAATTATTACATCCACATGATTAACAATTATTACATCCACATGGATGCAGTTATATAAAAGACGTGCAAAGTTGTGCCAAAAATACATTTAACAGGAACAGATTCAGCCTTACTGGAGGATATAATAAATAGTCTAACAGACAGAACATTTATTTATAAACAGATAGAATTTTCTGATCCATGATGACGACTGGCTCATCAGCCGTTT